CTCCACTCCATTCCACTCCACTCCACTCCACTCCAAGGACGGCTGCAGAGGAGACTAGTGTATAACTGGCTCGATTTTATTTTCGAAATGCTCCACTCCACTCCACTCCACTCCACTCCACTCCCATACACTCCACTCCACTCTCCACAACACAACACCACATCACAATCTACACCACACTACAACACACCACTCCATAATCCACAACACACCACAAAACAACACACCACAAAACAACACACCACAAAACAACACACCAAATTTTTGTCTTTGCACATGTAACTTGAGGTTGAATATTTTCTATACGACAGGAAACTGTAATTTTGATAAATCATTTTGCGGATGGACGAACTTGAAGAATGATGATTTTGATTGGAGTCTTGGGAAGGGAAAAACACCAAGTGACCATACTGGACCATCAAAAGGATTCGGGAAAACCGGTAACATAAATTTGCTTTACTGAAGAAATTAGAAAACGCGCGCGCGTGCTGTATGCAGTTATAAAGCACGCATGGATTGGCAGAACACGAGAGAAATGTTAGGAGAAGCACAAAGCGTAGCGGAGTTCTTCTCGACACTTCTCGAGTGTTTTGCCAATCCCCAAGTGCTTTATAACTTCACACAGCACAGGAAGCAAGTTTTCTATTTCTTTTATAAAATACAAATTCCAAAAACCGTTAATTATTGTAGATAGGAATGACGCAACTAAAAGTGCGTGCGCGTGCTGTGTGCTCTCATAAAGCACGCGCTCCCAACCAATCAGAACGCGAAATTTCTAACAGTTATTCTATAAAAGTATTTACTTAATTGGATATGGTTAGTCAAATACGATATGTACATCTACAATGAAGGACTAAAATGGGAGCTGGGATATTTCTATTTTGCCCTGGGAAAAATAGGATTTAGGTAATCGGGAATGATAAGAGAGACGTTTTCGAATAGACCAGCGGTAATTTGGAATTCGAAAGGGGTCTATTCCGGTTCTCTTCCCTCAATTCGTTAATGTATGAGTTGAGAGTCGTACACTTGGAATATTGAATGAAGTGGTAGTGTAAAGTAGGCCAAATTGAAAACCAGTGCTCATTAATTTCTTCACCTACTAAAAGGTATTATCTTTCAAGAAGTAAATTGCGTTTCATCAAGCGAATATTATAATTATTATTATTGATTATCAATTCTTTTATCTCTTTGTCAGAAGGTTAAGATACGAGCTATAACTAATTTTAAACCTGTTATCTAAAATATCATATTCCTCGTTGATCATTTCAGACGGATATGCCTTCATTGAAGCGTCTGAGCCAAGAATTGGCGGTGATACAGCAATCATGGCCAGCGGTTATCTACTGGGCTCAATGTGCATGCGCTTCAGGTACCACATGTATGGCGAAGACATTGGATCATTGAGCGTATTTAGGAATGGCGACGGTGTTAAGCWGCAGTTATTGTGGCAACAAGATGGTAACCAGGGCAACACGTGGAATGAAGTTGAAATTGCTATTGATTGTARCGTTACGAGATACTTGGTAAGTTGAAAAAGACTGCAGAGATGAGTAACACCACTCGCGCAATTATGCATGTAACGAAGGGTGGTAAGATGTAACGCGTGACATGTGGATTGAAAAACATTTAGTGTGTAACGCATGCCACAAAAGTGCTACGGTATACATTTAAGTCATAGTTAAGGTTTACCTTTAACTGAATATTTGTCACGTTGTGTCACTTTCTCCATTCCTGTTTGTGACATGAAGTAAAGGCATATTGTGGAGGGTCGCACATAAAATCGAAAAGCTAGTTAGGACTTGTGGCCCTTAACACCGCAGTCTCTAGTGCAGGGATGATAAAGTAGTCTCTCACATACCATGTAAATAGAAAAATGTATTCTTCGTTTGCAATAGACGTCATAGCTGCCATGTTGGAAGAATTTGACAAAAGATTTTTCAATGAATTCTTTTGTTATATCTTCCAAYATGGCGGACATCCCTTTTGTTATTGTGCTCTCTTGGGATTGATTGCAAACCAAGAATCATCTACCTAATTGCTTTTACAATTGAAATCTATGTACTTAGTAGCTACCTATCTAGTCTAACTTTTAAGTTATCATAGGTAGCTTGTACTTTATGTATGTCATATTTCTCACAAATGTAAATATTTAAATATTGTRTTGTATTAATAAGTACTGAATAAAATATTGATTGATTGATTGATTGATTGATTGTTTTAGGTGGAGATTGAAGCTTCTGTAGGTGGCTGGCGAGGAGATATTGCTGTGGACAACATCAAGTTTACACCCGGTGCCTGTCCTCCTAAACCAGTTATCATCAAGAATATTAACTACACCACAGCTGCACCACCAGTGATCAGTAAACTACCAGATTTTGATGGTGAGAAAAAGATTAAACTGAGTGTAAAGGGCCCTGAAAAGGTTGAATAGGGAATGCTAGCTGTGAGTGATGTCACAGGAAAAGAAACGGGAAAGAGGAGGTCGACAGAGGGGAGGTTTATAGTAAGAGAGCTAGAAATAGGGGAAAGAAGAAAGACGAAATGAAAAGGGGAAGAGATTATGTCATCAGCCCCCTTCCCCTGTCATGGCAACAAAAAAGCACCTTTACGATTCTTTTTTTTTTTTTTTTTTTTTT